CCAGGGCGGCGGGGGCCCAGGCGTCCCGAGCGGTAGGCGTAGGCGGGGAGTGAGCACGTTTGATGGGGCCCCTCCGGTTCCTCCTTCTCGCGGAGCGAATGAAAGGACCTTTAGAAACGGCCGATCGGGGACCTGCGAGCGCAGCGGGGAGGCGGGGGCTCTAACCGCCGGTGCCAGAGGCGCCGGTGTTCACGTGCGGGGCGGCCTGGCCTGTGTCCGGCCTTGGGGTGGAAGTGGGACGGGGAGGGGGTGACTGGAAGCCTCTCCCGGACCCTCTCATCTTCCTGCTCCCCCACCTCCCCAGGCTCTGCTCACTGAGCTCCCCGCACCCCAGCCCTGCCCGGCTCCGGCCCGTGGGATCAGGGGTGAACGAACACACCAGGAAGCCAACGCTGTGAGATTAATGGAGGAAAAGAAACTCCACTGATAATCGGAGGGACAGGTCAGGGCTCGCGTTCAGGGCCGGCAGCTCGGAGGGTCAGAGCGTCGTCCCCAAACACCAAGGTTGCCGGTTCGATACCAGAAGCAACCAATGAATGCACGAATAAGTGGAACAACACATCAGTGTTTCTCTCTCTCCCTCCCCCCCTCTCTCCCTTCCTCTCTCTCTAAAAAGTCCATTTAAAGAGAGAGAGAGAGAGAGCGCGAGTGCTCCTGGGGACAGAGAAGCCTCCAGTGGGTGGATTTACACCGTCTCCGTCCCCCGCGCCCCAGCCCTGCCCGGCTCCGGCCCGTGGGATCAGGGGTGAACACACCAGGAAGCCAACGCTGTGAGATTAATGGAGGAAAAGAAACTCCACTGATAACGGGAGGGACAGGTCAGGGCTCGCGTTCAGGGCCGGCGGCTCTGAGAAGGGGTCGTTCTTGGGTGAGGCCTGCGCGGCGCGCCGTGAGCTTCCGGGAGCGCAGGCAGGAAGGTGCCCTCCAGGACCAGCCGGAGGGGGGCTTCCTAAGAGGCCGGGGGCTCGGAGGGTCAGAGAGTCGTCCCCAAACACCAAGGTTGCCGGTTCGATACCAGAAGCAACCAATGAATGCACGAATAAGTGGAACAACACATCAGTGTTTCTCTCTCTCCCTCTCCCCTCTCTCCCTTCCTCTCTCTCTAAAAAGTCCATTTAAAGAGAGAGAGAGAGAGAGAGAGAGAGAGCGCGCGCTCCTGGGGACAGAGAAGCCTCCAGTGGGTGGATTTACACCGTCTCCGTGTCACCCAGGGGGAGCATGAGACAGACATCTGCTGCCCAAACAGAACTGACCTGAGAATGTTCTGGAGAAAAACAAGACGGGCCTTCCTCAGCCCTCGGGCCACTTGCCCTGAAATGGGTGGGGGGCTGGTTATCGTATCCTGGGACAAAGTGGGGGCCGGTCCTCCCGGAACAGGAGCACCTAAAGGTCCACCTGCTCCCCGAATGCCCCGGCCCCCGGGAGCGAGCCGGCTTCCTGGCGTCCCTGCTCGGCGGTCCTGGGGACCGGCTGCGGCGAGATGACCCCTCTTACCACACGGAGTGATCAGTGGCACCGTGCACCGAGGCCGCGGAAGGAAGTCGGGGTGGGTGTGCCGGGCAGGGCGCACAGCTGAAGGGCATCTCAACTCGATTTGAAAACGTGATGTTTCTTTCACCTGGAACTTTTTGGCATCAATTTTGACCTTGAAGCTGTTGCCGTCAAACAGGATGAGTCATGGTTTTCTAGTTTGGGGAACCCCCTCGCATTCTGTGCTCCGGGCTCTAACCTGGCTGCTCATGCCTTTCACACCCACCAGGCCCACCCTGATGGCCACGCCCCCTGGGTTCTGGAAGATGCCACTTCCCCTGTGGAATCTCGCTGCAGAGACGTGACTGCACTAAGATGTCAAACACCCAGCTAGCGGCCCACACAAGTACCTCGGTGACCATGACCTCTGACCTCTGCGGGTCAGAAGCGCAGGCCCGGGCTGCCCTTGGACTGAAAGCACCGGTTCAAAGCTGCTGCCCCTCCCAGGGCCAGGTGGCCTGCAACTGTCAGCGGAGGAAAGGCCGAGATTTCCACAAGCAGCAGAGCCGGCGGGCAGGCAGGCGGGCAGCCCTCTCGTCCGGTCTCGGGAGCCGGGGGCTGCGGCCCTGCAGTGAGGGGGGAGCCAGAAGGGGTGTGTTTGGGGCC